AGGAAGGTTTCAGGATGATGCAGATGATAAAAATGAGCGGTAATCAATCAAAGCGCTCCCCATCACTGTTAATGATTTTGTCGCAGGCGGAAACGAGAGAACAAAGATCCAAGAAAACAGATAAACAAAGGCAGTGAGAATCTAGTGCTGGGCCCATTTACCCAGAGCAGCAAAAACCAGATAAAAGTAGTTTATGTTTTTACATTTTGTAAAAATTGCCACTATTTTTTTTTAATATCATCCTCAATTAAGTTCATTAAATTCCAAACACCATATATTTTTCCTATATGAGAAAGATAACCAAAAAAAAATTTTCAATATAAGGAGATTTTGAGAAAAAAAGTTAGGGCCTGTTTGGTTTCTTGTTTTGAAAATAATTTTTAGTTTTTAAAAACAGAAAAACAAAAAAACTGGTTGGGTAATTTGTTTTTAGTTGCTTGTTTTAAAAAACATTGTTTTAAAAAACAAAAAAAGGAACATGTTTTTAAAAACTAAAAACCAAAACAACTTTCACATGTTTTGTTGTTTTTGTTTTTATATTTTATATTTTTTGTTTTGAAAAATTTTGAGAAATCTTCTTCTCTTCTCACCTATTATCCACCACTTATCATTACCAGCGATAGTTATCACCTACCAAGTGTGATTTTCTATGATATTTTTCAAAACATGATTTTTAAAATTATTATCCAAACAAATTCTTTTGTTTTTTGTTTTCAAAACTTATTCTAAGAAACAATTTTATAAAATTGTTTTGAGAATAAGAAAACAAAAAACAAAGACAAACAGGCCCATAATTTCTTATCTTTTGTTTTCTGATGAAAAATTTCTCCCTCTAAACATTTTGAGACGGAATTTTCTCTGCCTTAAAGTTAGATCCCCCCCTTCCGGGGGGAAGTTATGAATTTATTGGATTATACTCCCTCCCTCAGGTCCATAATATAATATGATAAATTGGTTGAGTTCTGAAACAATGATATTTAAGTTATTAAATATTTTTTCAAAATGATAAAATTTCTCTTTTTTGCTCAAAGAATGTGATTGAAATGTACATTTAATACACTTTTATAAGTTCTCATATCTCTCTTTTTTTATATTTAAAATAATAGGGACAAAAGTAAAAACATATCATTAATTATCTTGATAATTTTTTAGAGAAATGTCCTCCCACGGTGCCAAACCAATGAAAATGCACTAACTCAAATAATTTTAAACGTACATGGCAGCTAACTATTTTTTGTTGTTTAATTGTTTTAAATTAATATAATTTTTTGTCCTTTAATTTTGCTTGCATTTTTTTTTAGTCCCTCAAGTTTTAAATTATAGATTTTGGCCTTTTAAGGAGCAAAACAATGCAGACTAAAATAATTGAAAATTTTATTGGATTATAGAAACCAATATTTTAAATAAAAGAAACTTAAAAAAAAAACTAAAACTTTTAACTTTTTTTGGCCTAAAAAAACTTATAACTTGAAACTTAAATGATCAAAATTAAAATGAAAATAAATTTAAAAACACAAAAAATTATATTAACCCATCATTTTAAAAACTAAAAATGACTAGGTTTAGCAAATTCCTTAGCTACACCTTCCTTCCTTCTTTCTCTTTCTTTCTTTCTCCACCCCTTCTACTTTCTTTGGTTTGGCACCACTGAAACGCCGTCCAACCATCACTCTCTGAAAAAATAAGATTGTTTTTTTTTTTATTTGTTCTCATGTAAAATTCTATTGCTTTTCTAATCAAGCAGAAAGGTCCCTGTGCTATTGGCTTCTAGCTTTCAGTATGCTTTTTTCTGTTTTAATAACGTTTAGAGCTACAAGATCAACCCAGATAGGCCAAAAAGAGAGGAATATATGAAAAACGATTCAGAGGCTTATATTCCACAAGATGATGGAGAATGCCATACCAGTAAAAGAGTAAGAATGATAATAAAATAAAGAGCAGTACATTCTTCTCCAGTGCCGTTGATAACATCTTGACCACCGTCATTAACATTTGAGAAGAAAACAAAAAAGAGACGAAGGGCGTCATAGGCTTTAAAGGTGCTTCCTGCTCCATTGCGATTTTAATCTATCTTGTCCATTCCAACCGATTCTTCCGATCAATCAAACGGAGCCTTAAAAAAAGTGCTTGTCAACATATTTGGTCTTGTCTTGTTAGATTGAATAAGTATTTATTTGGCAAACTTCCATAATCAGTTTAAAAAAAGAAAACTTCAAGATACGTAATTGTATATGTGAGATGTAGATAGGTGATACTTACAGTCTTACATATTGGCGTAGATCTTGAAGAAACATGGGATCTACGGCTTCACATGAGCGCAGAGCTCTAACGGCTTGTTCCATCTTGTTCATGCTTTCGGCTTCTTTTCATGGCCTTGTTTTGCATAGCCCTCTCAGAAAGTGCTGAAAAAATCGAAAGCAGAAGAATCTAATGTTGGCTCCAGCAACCAAAAAGAAAGCATTATTGTCCGCCACAAGTTACTTTTTAATCATCCTCTTAGAGCATTTACTCTCCTTTTGATTTGGAATGAAAAATCAATTTGTGCTGTCAGTCTTGAATAGTGCTCACATCCACCCACTTCCACACAAATATTTGACTCACAGATCAATTTAAAAATCATCTTTCTATTATCATTGCATTGTGTAGGCCTAAAAACCCATGAAATAATTTAATTGATTAAAAGCTTTACTTGTGAGTAGACTTTAATATTACATTTCATTTCACACCAAATGACTCATTTTTCTTTATATAAATAAAACGACTCCTGGTCAAAAATAAATAAATAAATAAAAGGACTTGACACACAACTCCCTTTTCTTTTAAAGCGTACAAGGAAAATGGAAAAGAGGGGAGGGGAAGAAAATTTTTTATGAGCATAATTTAAAAAAGTGATAAGGTGGGGTTAAAAGTTGTTAATTAAGTTTTAATATACTCTTTCGTTTTACATTTTTTTCTTTATTGAAATTTTATATGAAAATTAGGGATAAATCCTCTATTGAAAATTTAATTGGCAAATGAGAGCTAAGGATTTTGTGCAACTTAACTTCTTTTTATGCAACTTATCTTTCCTTGTGCGCAATGTATCTTTCTTTGTGTGCAATGATCTTCCTTTGTGGGATATGTAACTCAATTTCCCTTTATGCAAATGAAATTCTCTTATGTGCAAGTCATCTTCCCTATGTGCAAACTAATTCCTTATATCCAAATAATGTTTTGCGTAAACTATCTTCTCTTTGTGCAACTTATCATCCTTTGTATGCAACTAATCTTTCCTTGTATAATCAATCATCCTAGGTCCTATTTGCCAATTAAATTTTTAATGAGGGATTTATCTCTAATTTTCCCAATTTTATAACCTCACTTGTTTAATATTTTAGACAGAATTCACGAAATTTTTTTCCCTCCTCTTCTTTCCATTTCCCACCTGCCAAATATAGGGTGAAGTGTAATTATCATAAATCCACCTCTAAAATAATAAAATAGTAAATAAAATAAAATTAATCCGGCATTATCTCACAAGGAGACAAAAATAAAATGCTCTTTAAGTCATAGAACTTAATTTGAAAGTTGATGTGGGTCATATATGTAAGACTTATTTTACATGGTTATTAATTTTTTTCCTAAATTAACCATATTGGGAGAAGGAATGAGTAAATTAGGAAAGATAATTAAGGTGTTTTAGAAAAAATATATCATACTAATTAATTCAACTTGCATCTTTAATTTATTCAAATTATTATATTAGATGTTAGAAAGTATGACAAACAAAAAGGCCCCGCCGGTCACAGTGGTTGGCTACAAAAAAGGTCAATTACTCAACGGGAACAAAACACCGGAAGCCCATGCATAATCATGACTTCACTTTCCCATTTTTCCAAGGTTCAAATTTTCCTCATGGATTTACTCTGCTTTTGGTTTGGAAAAAAATCAATTTGTACTGTCAGTGTTGAATAGGAGTCGCATCCACCGACTTCCACGCAACTATTTGCGCAAATAGCCTCTCTGTGTTCACCAAATTACTACAGTTTCTGGAGGTTGGATTCCTCTCACCAATTTGTGTGTCCATTCCATTTGGGTTGTGGATCATCATCATCAGTCCCACTAGTTTCTGTTGTTGTTGATCTTCTTCTACGATCTTCTTGCTCGTGTTTGGAGTTTGGACCCTTCCTTTTGATCCTTTCTTTCTTGTTCTTCATCTTCAACGCTCTGTTTCCTCTGCTTCTTTGTTTTGAGGTCCTTTCTTCATCTTTAATGCTTCTTCTTCTTCTTTGCACTAAAAGCCAACAAAACAAAACAAAAATAAAAAATCGTGTGCTATTCATTTCAGTTCTTTTTTTTTTTCATTTGTGTTAAAAAAAGGGGGAAAAAATTCTGTGTTCAACCTGAATTATATTCCTGTACTGATTTTTCTCTCCAGTTACTATTGTTTCTGTTGTTCTTCTGCAATCGTGTTTGAAACCAAAAAAAAAAAAAAAAATTGCCTGGGCTTTCTATCCATGAATTGTATGTTGCTGTTTTTCTTTTTCTTCATTTCGTGTTAAAAACACTTGTCTGGTCTTCTTTTAAGTTCTTCCTTTTTATTTGTTTTTCTTTGAAAAAGGGGAGAAAATCGTGTGTTCTACTTGAATTCCTGTTTTGATTTTCTCTCTCCACTTCCCATAGTTCCTGCTGTTCTTGTGGTTCTGGTTTGTTTTTTTCCCCTTCATTTGTTTTGAGCAATTTCTTTTTTCTTTATTTGTTGCTAAGAAAAAGAGGGGTGTCCTTGCTTTACCTCTCTACTTCTCTCTCCCTCCCTCCCTCTCTCTCTCTCTCTCTCTCTGCAATTTTCGTGCTCTTCTTGGCTTCTCGCTTTCCTTTCTCTCTTCTTGGGAGTTTGTCCACGTTATTTCTTTGTATTTGAATATATCCTTCGTTTGATTTTCTCTCCTTAATTTGTTGCCCTTTTCTCTCCATCTTTGTGTGCTCTTCTACTTGTTTTCTTGCTTTTAGTTGCTCTCCCCGTCGTCACTTTTTCTTCTTCTTCCTCTTTCAAAACAAAATCAAAATTCCTTCTCAAATCATCAAAGCAGTTCATACTTTTTGGTTCTTTGTATTTTAAAATCTTTCCTTTAGATCTGCTCTTCGTTAATCAGCGTTGTTACTGTTTTTCTTCTGAAAAAACAAAAAAGCAAAAAATAATTTGCGTGCCCAAGTTGGGTTTTTGCTTTGTTTTTTGTTTTCTTGTTGCTACACATTTCTCTCCAGTCACTCTATATAGTTTCTGCATATTTGCTTTATCTTCTTGCATTTAAATTATTTTCTTTACGATCTCATCTCTGTTTATCGTGACGTTATTGTTGTTTTTCTCCTTCTTGTTTAGAGAAAACCAAAAAAAGAAAAGTTGTGTTCAAATCTTCTTTCTGCCTACTACTTCACACCTTTTTCTTTGTATTTAAATTCTTCATTTGATTTTTCTCTCCACGATCGTTGTTCTCATATTTCCTGCTCTCAGAAAACGAAAAACAAAAAAACCAAGAAACCAAAACAAGGATTTAATATCAAAGGCCTTGAAGCGGTGTTGCACATAGATATCTTTGAGAGGTAAAAATTTCTACTCCATGATACTTACAAATTATGTTTGGAGCTTCTTATGTATGTGTGTGTATTATCTCTTACAACTTTCTTTAACTTGTTTTTATTTCTCAGATCTTAGATATTGGTTGGCCACGTGAAACATACTTGAAGATTCCAATTACTGTTTCCAGGTTAGTATATACCTAGTTTTAATAGTAAATTTCATTTATTCATAGAAACTATTTTAGGTTTCTTAAATTGCACACATGGATGGGTTATGTATATACTAGCCCCCTTCTTAATATAAAATTCAGGAGCTTGTTTGGATTCTTGGTTTGGAAATAATTTTTTATTTTTAAAGACAAAAAAAAAAAACTTGTTTGGTAATATGTTTTTAGTTGGTTGTTTTAAAAAAAACAAAAAAAAGTAATATATTTTTAAAAACTAAAAAACCAAAACAATTTTTAGATTTTGTGTTTGTTTTTGTATTTTGTATTTTAGGTTTTAAAAAATTGAAGGAGTCTTCTTCTTCTTACCCATCACTCACTACATATCAGCTACCACTTGCCAAATGTAATTTTTTTCTTCGAATGTGATTTTTTAAAATAATTATTTAAACATATATTTTTTGTGTTTTTTCTATTCTCAGAACTTGTTTTAAGAAACAGTTTTATAAAATTGTTTTGAGAACAAGAAAACAAAAACCAGAACTAAATAAGCCCTAAATTACTTGATACCTGATCTCTCTAATATCTTATATGTATCATTAGATTAAATATCAATTTATAAGTGAAGTAAGTTAGTTTGGAAAAAAAAGTTAAATATAAATATTTTAAGATAATTTAATAATTTTTTTAATCTCTTCAAATTAATCAACTAGGTCTTATACGAAGCACTTGAGGTAGTATGTATTTTTACTTGCAGCATAAAATTAACTGTATTTTTTACAGTGTTGAACAGTGTGGCTCTATATTTTCGATATTTGATATGAATGTTGGTATAGATATGGTTTAGCTTCCTATTTATAGAAAGTAAACATGTTCACATGAATTGAAGTTTGAAATTAGTTGTATTCTGACCGTACGTAATACTGCTCGTCCTGTACTATTACAGTTTTACTACACTAGTGCGTTGATTGTGATTATCTTCAAATAAAATTTTATTCCCGCAGAAAATTGTTAAAATTAATTTTCATTGGTTACTTTTCTCACTGAGAATAGCATAGTTGTATTATCATGGTTTAATTTGTAAACGCTAACCAGACCGGCTGGGTTGGCTCAAGAATTGGCGACATAGGCACTTATTAGCCAGACCATCCAAGTTTATTAGTACAAAATTAAATAAACATGCACAAAACTCATCCTTCGATGAGACGAGTTTTGCATCATGTGCAAAACTAAAAATAATAAAATAATTAACAATTTAAAAATGGGTTAAGCGTCATTATCATTTATCACTTTGAATTATTTTCCCAATGACACTCGGTATGATAAACTAATTCTTGATACATTTGACATTATAAAAAATATTTTATATTAAAAATTGGTTAACTAGTAGTTAAGGTATCGAAGTATTTTTTAAGTAGCACTTAATAGCGTAAATTAACTTTTTTGTGCATATGATGACACCATGGAAGGTATTGTTATATTGGAGTCGGGGTGATGGGAGAGAGGGTTTGCAGCCCGTGAAATATACTCCTGCCACCATTTTTATTAGAAACTAAAAAAAAAAAAAACAATGATGCATCATGTTTATTCAAAATCACACCGATCAAGAACCATTTTTTTATCGTAATATTTAATAATTTTCATTGGGTAATATAGTGGTAATAGTTTTTTTTATAGAATTTTGCTTAAAAAACATCTTGGGGGAGTAAGCAATAATAAGTTGCAGTAATGCACACTACTCCCTCCCATCCTATTTAAAAGACCCAAACTAACTAATTAGGAGCGAAATTTAGGTTATATTTCCAGATTATAGATAATTCTTGCAGGAATATAATAGGGAAAAAATATCTCATGTTGATGCTGAGTAATTATTCATATGTATTGTTGTGTACTTTATATATATATTTGATTGACCTTGACACTCTCCAATATAAATGTTGGGTTACTCGTGTGATTGAATTTGGGAAAAAAAAATTCTAACCTTAATCTTTACATTTTGGCTTAATCATAGTAACCTTTCTTTTATTTTAAAAGCATACAATTAAGTTCAAATGGTTAACTCCATCAAGAATATTTCAAAAATGTTCGTAAAAAAACATTTTGTTTAAAAATTTTAAATATCAAATTTTAAATTATTTATATGACTCGCAAACTTACATCATTTAAATTATATGATAAAAATGCATTTAAAATATTTTTAGCCATTTAAAAGAAACCTAAATAAATAGATTTGAATTGATGTGATGGAAAATTAAAATTTTATAATTTAATCAAAATTGATAAATTTTATGACATATTATAAGGTTTGAAAATAGATGTATTAAAATAATTTTTGCTGCATAAAAAAGTAGTTTGTTTATCAAAAATCTATGTTTGGCATAAAAACAAATATAAATGTTTAAATAATTCTTATGTTAATGAAAGGCATTTTAGTAAAAATAGAAATTTAAGAGTCAAACTTAACAGTTAACTAACATTTAAATGGACAGGAATGGAATCCCAAATATCCAAAGGAGGTTTGGGTAACATATATCTTAGTTTTAAGAAAAGTCAATATACGTTTTCAAAATAGAAAAAAATTTATAATTTAGGTAAACCAGAGGGGTGGATATTTTACTCAAAAATAAATGTCTTTATAGGAGACAGATTTAATTATATGTTTGTCAATTTTTTCTTGTAGGGTAGAGTTTAATTGGAAGCATATTACCCCTTTCTATATAAATAATATTTTCTATATCCAAATATCAGTCTTTTCGAACATTTGAATCAAAATATATTTTTTTTAATTATGAACAACAAATGTGTATGAGGTAAATAAATATCTTTTTTACAATCTTTATTTTGACTTTTTACGCGAATTATAATTTTAGTTGAATGTATAAAATGTTTTTATTCTGGCCGGTTAAAATTTTAACTGATGTAGAATTCTCACACCAAAAATGTCACCGGTTGTAATTTTTAACTTGTCTTCGCAACAATCACTATATTATTAGTGTCGCTGTAGAAATGTTATTTTTGCACTAATTTAAATTTATGAGTAATAGAAAATCCATACACTTTTATGGTAATACATTATTTTTATTGTAACAAATACACATGTATGTTGTTCTCACCGTCTAAAAACGTCCACGTTTGTTACCGTTACATCTTTGTGTTTGTGTGAGAGAGATTATTGGTTCCTCATTTATTTATGCTTCAATTTGTTGGAATTGAGAGAAAAACAATGGACAAAAAAATAGAGGGGAGAAAAAATAGGGAGAGGAAAAAAGTGAAGAGATAACATTCCTCCTTGTGTTTGGATAGATGAGGAAAAATGGAGAGAAAAGCAAATGCATGACATTTATAATGACAATAATACTTTTATTTAATTTTAACCAATTTTTTTTCAAGTAATGGTATGAAAAATGAATTCAAACTATTTTGTTTCAAAATTTAAATATTTAGCTAAATATATTTCCTCACGAGTTAAATTAATAAAAAGAAAGTTAAAGCAAAAATAAAGAGGTAAGAATGACAATATTATACTTTTATACATTTCAATTTTACAAAGTCGTCACTCTTAAACTTCTGTTAGGTGCAAATTTGGCGAGTTGATCATTTCTATGTTTTAGCTTACAGAATCATGTTAACTCACTTTTAAACTTATCCTAAATTTTTAGATTTGATTATAGTTAGTGACTTTATATATAAATTCATAAAAATTTCTCTGTTGTTGAGTTCGGTAAACTATAAATGTTGATAGATTTTATTTTATTATTTGGATTTAAAATAAAAATAAATAAAATTGTGATTTAATTATAAACTCTTTCGTGTGTAAGTTTCAAGTTTAAGATTTGAGTTTACATCCCTATTAGGAGTTTACTAATTAAAGGCATTGGTTTTAATTAATTGCTAGGCATGAAAAAAAATTCCTCACTAGGAGACTTGCACTCTCTTCAAAGGATTTAAATTGGATCGGACTGAATTGGTCGGGTTCATGATAATAGTATAATACTAAATTATACAAAATTTCTCTAAATTTAAAACTATGTACAACTAATTTTCTTGACATTTAAAACTTAATAATAAATAGGCCGCCATACACTTTTAAATCTGTGCAACCTTTTAATTTTACTTTCGTGTACATATAGATAAATAATATAATAAACAAAACTAATAGTAGATGCGTTATCTGAGTAAATGTAAAAGTTTAGGGAGATTTATTATAAAATATAAAATTTTCAAAGATGAGAAAAATTTTCAAAGATTTATTATAACATAAGGTACGATGGGCAAGGTGCGAATAAATCAGCGAAGAATACATAGGGTACTAGGAATGAGGAAACTATAACATTTTTTTTATCAATCCCTTTCATGCCATTTGCAATATGTTTATTCGGTGACCTCATTTTGTTAGAGTGACCAAGGCCTAATGATTATGGCTTCTCAATATAAAATGTAAAAGTATTATTATTATTAGTGGTCCAAAAAGTAAACATATATGGTATTATTAATTAGTCCTAGTACTAATTAAAGTATAATCAGGCATTAGATGTGTCACATCGAGATCATAGAATAAGACATGTAATAAAGGCACAGAGTGTCATTGGAGGTTACAGAAAAGATTAATTAATAATCAAATTAATTGTTGCTAATTATTTAATGCCAGTACCCCTTCATTATTGAACACACCAGCTGGTTTCTGCAATTTTTGTCCTCTTCTTCGATCGGTTCTCGCTTTCATTTCTCTCTTCAATCACAAAAAGCCTTTGAAAAAAAGAGTCTAGCAACTGTTTGCTTTTGTTTTCTTGTTCTCAAAACAATTTCATAAAATTAGTTTTTGAAACCAGTTTTAAAAACCAAAAACAAAAGAATTTGTTTGGATAATAATTTTAAAAAATCACATTTAAAAATAATTATAAAAAATTACACTTGACAAGTAATAATTGTCACTAGTAATAACATATGGTAGATAATAAGTGAGAAAAGAAAAAAAATTTCAAAATTTTTCAAAACAAAAATAAAATTAAAATAAGAACAAGAAGAGATATAAAAGTTGTTTTTGTTTTTAGTTTTTAAAAATATGTTACTGTTTTTTTTTAAAACAATCAACTAAAATTTTTTTTTTCTGTTTTAAAAACAAAAATTGTTTTCAAAACAAAAAAGCCTTTACAGTTTTGACTTTTGTTTGAGAGTTTCTCTCTGTAGAGGGAACCTTTCTTTCTAGTTTCTTGTATTTAAATTTTGTTTTTGCCACCAATGATAATCGGTTGCTTTTCTCTCTTAGAGTAGCAATATCTTTCGTGGTGTGATGGTTTTGTAAATTCATATCAAACTATTTCAAATCCTCGTTCTGTGAAAATTGTATTCTTCCTATGTTCTTGTTAACTTTTTAAAATTAAAACATCTGTTATTAATTTTTCCAAAATACTTTAAATTTAAAATATATTTTTCAATGATATTTAATGTATATTTATATCTTATAAACATTGTAAAAAATAAAATATTTAATTTTGACGGTGTGTAATTATTCATATATATATTTATTGAACCCAGCACTATTAAATATAAATATTGGGTTGCCCTTGTTGTTGAATTTGAAAGAGGAAGTAAATATCTTTATATGAAATAGATTTGATGGTACATCTGTTAATTTTTCATACAGCTATGTGCATCGCAATTATGCACCATCTAATTTCACCTCAGTTAAGCAGCAATCAAAGGGTGCATATTAGTGGAAGAAAAATCGAGCTTAACTAACAGCAGTGCTAGTAACTTTAAAGAACGGCAAACAATTAGAGGCAATTTAGGAATGCTACTCCCCTTAAAACAATAGAATTAATTTCTTTTTGAAGTAGTCAAGTCGAGCCTTTTTACATTAGGTAGAAACGTCTTTTGATGCACTCAAACTATGTCAACTTTCTATGAACAATTGCAACAATTATGATACTACGATTTAGAATTACCTTTTATTTGGTCATGGATTGTTATTGTTGATTTTAGAATGCATTCCTTAAAACATTACACACACGTGGGTTACTTAGAGAGATGTCATTCTTTCTATAATCTCTCCCTACAATTAATGATATGGTTTTGATTAGTATATTGTAATCTTAGACATATATAGTTGGCATGTGCATAGATATTATAATCTTGTAACCGTAATCTCATACGCATGTTAGATGGATATCGGTAGCAATGTCGCAACAACAGTTATCCCCTGCCTGGCATGTAAAGCATGGGAAGAACTTCGGTACCTGCGTAAATACAAGAGTTATGTTCGAGACTTCAGAAATGAACAAGGAAAGTTGTCAGCTGAAATGAAAAGAGTAAAGCTGAAGATAGATGAAGCCAGCAAAAGAAATGAGACTCTAGTTGATCCTAGAGTTGAAGACTGGCTTAAAAGAGCCAATCAACTTTTACAACAAGACACTAAACCAACTAAATGCTTTGGCTTGTGTGTGAATTGCTGCTGGCAAACTGCACGAGCAAAGGAGCTGGAAAGTTTGATCAAAGAGGTAATTCCAAAATTGATCACTGAAGTTCAAGAATTTGATGCATTTGCACATGCAGTTGGAGTGCCAGGCATGGAGTTCCATTCACAAAAGTTCGTGTCCTTTAAGAGTAGAGAGGCGAAATTTGAGGAACTCAAGAAGGAATTAGAAGGTGACAATAACTATATGATAGGATTGCACGGGTTTGGAGGAACGGGGAAATCCACAATGGCAATAGAAGTCGGGAAACAAGTTGAAAACACAAATTCCTTTGATAGAGTCATCTTCATTAGCGTGTCTACCCCTGTGGACAAGAAAAGGATTCAAGATGACATTGCAAAGAAATTGGAATTGCAGTTAGAAGAAGAGAAGCTATTGACCCACGCGGAACAAATATGGAACAGGATTGCTTATGCAGGAAAGGTGCTCATAATACTTGATGATGTCTGGGAAAAGCTTGATCTTAAGAATTTGGGGATTCAGCCAGGCTTCCATAGAAAGGATCGTTGCACTGTTTTGCTAACCACACGTTATGTGAATGTTTGTACTGACATGGAATGCCAAAAGAGGATTAAACTAGAGGAGTTAGATGAGAACGATGCATTGAATCTTTTCCTCTATCATGTTGGTCAGGATTGCTGTGATGATTTGAAGAAGGTGGTAGTGGATATTGTGAACGAGTGTGGAAGATTACCAGTTATAGTTGTCGCAATGGCAAAGTCCTTAAAAGACTGGCCTAAAAAAGATTGGCACCATGCTTTGATAGCATTGAGAAGTGCGAATGAACCCTCAAGTCATGGGATTGTTGATGAAAATATGACGAAGTTTTATAATTCTTTGAAGTTAAGCTATAATTATCTGAAAGATGAACAAGCCCAAGTTCTCTTCCTGCTGTGCTCTGTATTCCCAAAAGCTTATGAAATACCCATAGAGCTTTTAAGCAGGATTGCTATAGGATTAGGGCTGTTTGGAGAAGCTGAATATGACGCAACAAGAAGTCAAGTGTGTGTGAAGAAAAACAAGCTCATAAATTCCTCTTTATTGTTGCAGGCTGGTGAAGAATGTGTAAAGATGCATGATTTGATTCGTGAAGTGGCCATGGAGATAGCAAATGAAGAGATTCAAGTGATCATGAAATCTAATATGAATTTGAAGGAGAATATGAAATATTCATCTTGGATCACAAATGGCTTTCCCAATTGTTTTAATGGTAGCAAACTTAAGGTTCTCTTAGTATGGATAAATGCAAATGGTTCTTTAGAAGTTCCAAATACAGTCTTTGCAGGGATGAAGAGTCTTAGAGTTCTGCTTTTGCATTCAAAAATTGAGTTTGGCAGAACTTTAGCCCTCTCGCTACCCAAATCAATTCAATCATTGAAAGATATTCGAACACTGTGTCTAACAAATTGGGAGTTAGGTGATATATCTATGTTGATAAGAAACTTAAAAGATCTTGAGTCTATAGAATTGACCAATTGTTCAATTCTTGATTTGCCAAATGGAATTAGTGAGCTAGGCAAATTGAGATTTCTATGCTTGATGCGTTGCTTGCTTGAAAAGAACAATCCATTTGAAGTGATTGCAAGTTGCTCAAAACTGGAAGAGTTGTATTATATCTCGAATGATGATCATATGCCTATCGACACACAGGTTCCTCAAATAAATATACCCCTTCCTCAATATCAAATATATCATATAGATGGTAGTGGGTTCTCTGCATTTGATTCTTGTCAGTTGGACGCTTCAATAAAAACGAGTTTCAAGCCAGCCAAGTTACAAAGGATGTTCTCCAAAGAAATAACTAAATCCTTGGCAGCAAGAGCAGAGATTTTGCAGTTAGAAGGAGATGATGAATCTAGCTGGGGCAATCTTATTCCTGATATTGTTTCAATTGAAGATGAAGCTACGAGAGACTTAATCAAGCTTTCATTGAAGAAATGGTCAAAGATGAACTGTTTGATACATACTAAACTTCTTCAACTTACACCTGGTATGGCTATCTTCAGGAAGTTAGCTGAACTGCAACTTGTTGGAGTGGCTGTGAGAGAAATATGTAGTGGTCCTTATCCTGATGGCTTTCTCAAGCAACTTGAGAAGTTAGAGTTAAGGGATTGTGAAAAGTTGGAAAGCACATTATTTAAAGGCAAGCTAGAGCTAGGTAATCTTAAGTCCATAGAAGTAAAGGATTGTTCAATGTCGTGCCTTTTTCATCCATCCACTGCCCAAAGTCTAAGAAAGCTAGAAACTTTGAAGATTGCTAGATGTTCTAATCTGAAATACATAATAGGGGATGAGGGATCATCAGGAAAGGTGAAAGCGGATGATAAAGATCCCAATCCAAGGAGTCATGACTCAATGTTTCAAAAATTGAAACTCTTCAGTATTAAAGGATGTGACGAATTGGAATTCATGTTGCCAATTTGTTTTTGTGATGACCTTCCTACACTTGAAAGTGCGGAGATTTCTGAGTGTGAGAACCTAAAATACATGTTTGGGCAATATCCAGAAGGGAGAGGGTTGCATCAAATGCAAAAAGAAAACATACTCTGTTCGTTGAAAGTGCTGTCTATTCTAAAAGTTCCTTCGTTCGTCAACATATATCCAGATTGTCATCTCCCACAAAAATCAGAAGCAAATACAACTGAAGGGTCAAAGGCAAAAGACAAGAGTCCAGGTCGCAATGTCTCTTGTGGTTCTTTATGTTGTTTTATGCCAAAATCAAAAGCTACAAATGAAGATGAGTCATCCACTTCCAAGGCAACTCAGCCGGACCATACTAGCCCACAGGTACATATATATGTTCCTCCCTCGCACTTCTTATCAATGCTACAAATGGTTATTTGCATTGAGGGAATTAAATAGAGTTGCGTTAATTTAAAAAAGAGAATTGTTAGAATAAATAATTACTCATTACGTTCAAAAATTGTGTTGATCAAATTTGTTATAATGCTAAAGTTATTTATAGATGACCTCCATATAGCAATTCAAATTTTAAAGTTAACCTCCCTATATTTTTTCATCTTTTCACATAGTCTAGAGAAAAATTCGGGAAAAGTCTCCCATTAAAAAATTTATTGGTGAGGAGGATGTACATTAGAATTTGGATATTTTGTATGTATAAATTTTACAGAGTATTAAAAGCTTTTGTATATAAAAGTTTATCAAATACTTCTCACCAATAAAATGAAGGGTCGTTGCCTTTTTTGATAGATTCCTTTTTCTACTTTACACTGAATATAGAGTATTTCTTTCTTCCAAAAAAATCATAGTCAGCAATAACACCAAAATTTCTAGGTTTGTATGTGTTTGTGACTTTTATGCCACAATTGTTGGTTTTTTAACTGACAAATAAGTCTGTAATATAAGGAGGGGTTTTCTGGGTATTTTACTTCTGGTGGAAAGAATACTTTTGCAGGTTTAATCTCATTTGTTGAGGATAGTTCAGGACTGAATATGGGGAAAGTTTTTGTGCGAAAACAGCATGAACTATTTATATCAAACATATATATTGTTGTAGCATCTGTGGCTTTTGCCAAAAGTATTTGTCTTCTTTTTTTTTTTTATACAATTCAGAGACTTGCCAAGTCACTTTGAACTTCAGTCTTCTCGCGATTTGAACTTGTGTTTTCTTTCTTATGAGGCTAAAACTATTTACCATAACAACCAATTGGTTGTTGGTAAAGTATGTCTCTTTATTCATGTTGCAATCTATGTAATTTTATTCTCAACCTCACGGTTGATATCTATTTAGTACACACATAAATCAAATTACAAAAGTTTGTCCACGTACATGCCACAGGGTGCAGGGCATTCACAACAAATTACTTATCCACATCAAATTTACAATGGCTTTTTTTTAAACAATCAACCTTTTAAATTTTGCTTCATTGTTTCATTAATTAATTGATTCAGAAGAATTTAGAACGTCAAAAATTAAAATTTTTAATAATTTGTAACATATTGGCTGAGATGTAGTAAAGATTACGTTAGATAAGATGTGAAAAAAAAATCTTTGGTTATACTTATTTATTTTTAAAAAAAAAAATTGAACCCCCTTTCCCGTCCATTCTCTGAATTGGCGCTACAACTCTAAGAAGATGAACCAAATTGATGTATTTGTTTGAAAGGCAGGATACATATGTTGGCAATAGGGCAAATGGAATTTTTACGCCACCGTTGTACCCGGGCAACTTGAGAGAGATGAAAATCAACAGAATTTCAAACTTACGGTCACTATTTTCTGTGTCCATTGCCTCATCAATGTTACTGTTAGAAAAATTGGAAGTCTCTGACTGTGATGAGCTAGAGCATATAGTAATGGAGGAGGTAGATGGTCATCATCATCATATGAGTTCCAACTCTATCTTTCCCAACTTGCGCACCATTGAAATCATCGAATGCCACAAATTGGAATATGTATTTCCAGTTTCTTGTTCTACAAACCTTGTGCTCTTGGAATCTGTGCATATCTGGAGGGCTAGAGAGTTGAAATATGTGTTTGGAAAAACTCGTGGTGATGATAAGTCACGTCAACAAAATCAGAATACTACGATTCATCTCCCAGCTCTCAACAAAGTGAGCCTTAGAGAAGTACCAAACATGGCTTTGTGTCCTGAGAACTATGATGTGGAAGCATCATCTCTAGAAGGCATCACTTTGCATGAATGTCCGCAACTTCCTATAAATTCTTTTATAGATGTATCAGTGGAGGGACATGAAGGACAAGAACAGGCCTCAAGGAAAAAGGTAATTAATTATTTTTCAACGGTTAGTTTATAATTATTGGTGTATTGCTTTGTTCTTTGATAATAATATGTGTGTGTATGTGTCATGACATTATACAGGTAATTGGGATGCACTTGTGCAATTTGAGACATCTTTCGTTGGGATACTTAGACATGGAAACAATTTATGATCTAGAAAGACTTCAAATTGCATGTCCTGTGAATTCAAGCTTGAAAACCCTGATTTTGGAAAACTTGGATGGGTTAAGAAACATATGTGTGGGACCAAAAAATCATCTGAGCTTTCAATATCTTTTCAAGCTATATATCTACAGGTGCGATAAGCTGAAATTCATTTTACCTACGTCTATCTCGAGAAGCCTGCCATGTTTGAGACATCTAGGGGTATTCCGTTGTGGGGAGCTAGAGGGCATCATTGAAGATGACGACGATGAAGAATGTTTTTTCCCAAATCTCCATAGGATTTATACACAAAACTGCGAGAGGCTGAAATGCCTATTCTCTATCTCCACACGTGGTAGCTTTCCACAGCTCTCGATATTGGCTATATCAAATTCCCCAGAGCTTGAGCAAGTATTTCGAGGGAAGCAGGGCGCAACCCGAGAGTTGCACATCAAGGCTGTGTTCCCAAAGCTATTTGCGATAATGCTTAGAGGTCTACCAAAACTTCATACCATCTGCCCTGCAATTGATTTCCAGACCGTGATATTCCGTCGAGTAGAAGATTGTCCCAGGCTCTCTTTAACTTCAACTGAGAATTTTGAGTTCATTGATAGTAAGTATCCCAAAGATTATTTAATTATATATTTACAATTGCTGTGACTTTTCTCATTATAATATATATTTGGAATTGCTTTGTTTGGTTAGGATATGCGGATTGGTTAGAGGAATCTGAGCGTAAAAAGGGCAGCATGGATGACGATGATCATTATGAACGGTTTTTTAATGTAAGTACCAAAATAAATGGCTCAATCTAAGGACAGAGAAAGCAGGGGGAGACAGGACAATGAACGATGCATACACCAAACTTAAATAAACTTAATGGGCCTCTTCCTCTTGAACCAATGGCCTATCATTACACCATTTTTATTTTTAGTTTAAATGTTTTATTATCTTTTCAAATTCACCGTGCATTGTTTGGGACAAGTTGTTTATTCAATTTTTTTTTCATAGAACTGATTAAAAAATATAAAAACAACTTGTCATTTCATTCAACCCATGGAAAAAATTACTTATAAGTCTCATCAAGAAAATTAAATGTATAAATGTCTCAAAAAATTCATATTTTACAGATCAAATTTGTATATTTACAAATTAAATTTAACCATTTGTGTTCACAAATCAAACTTTTACAAGTTGAATTGCATCATTTTTAAGTCAAATTGGTAAAACTTTTTTAGCACCCAGATCTCTGTGATTAATTTAATTAATTGAATCCTGAGGTCATTCTTTATAGAAATATTTTAAAAAAGAGTAAAAGTGTAATTTTGCATTTGATCTTATTTTTTAAGTGTACCTAGCACCTTGATTTTTTTAATGACGCAAAAAAAAATTATTGGTAAAATTACACCGGAGATAGGGCCGAATTTTCACCTTTTTACCCTTTTAAAAAATGTCTCATCTCATGGACCATCTAACCATGTTTACGGATATGTCCCAGAGGGTAAGAGAAGTAGCAGAGAAGGTTATAAGGAGAGATCGACCAGCAGCACAACAAAACAATGGTTCGTCAAATGTATGTATACTATACTTTCCTATAATCTGCCTGAAGATAACTGCTCTTAATTTGTTGCTTTGGGGTTACTTTAAAAATTAACAGAATTAATGCAATATAGTGCACAATCCAGGTCGTATTCACTTTGAGGAGACGAAAATGAAATTAATTCCTAGTAAATAAATGCAAGTAACCTAAACTATAAAAAAGATTTTTGATTTGATAATTTCTAATTAAACACCATAAATTAAATTAAAATTAAAATACTTTTTTTTTGTTTTTATATAAAAATGATTAAAATGAATAAAGATTAAAGAAATGAAAATGAAACACGCAAGTAACAATGATAATAATCAATCCTCCAATTCAACAACGTAAGCAATCATCACTCCAAAAGATATGGAAGTTAAAACAATGAATTTAGAATTATAATTAAACTTTTAATCCAACAACCGAGCCACTTCAAATTGTCATAAAATATTTTCCTAAAATCCTAACTTACTAACTGTAACCAGAATAGTAAAATGGGATTAAGGATGCTAAAACCAATGCTTAATTAGAAGCCTTAAATCCAAAACAACGGAATTAAAGCTAGCAAGAGACAATATGATCCAAGATTCCAAGCCACCTCAGAAAATCACAATATATTAACTCTAAAATCAATACAAATATCATAACCACAACATTATAATTGAAATTAAAGTTATAAACAGCTCAATGTCAAATGCAAAACGATAATTTAGTCACAATAATCTCCAAATATAATCAGATTAAACAATAAAAATTTTCTAATAATCAGAATAACTACCCTAAGACCTAGGAATTGTTAAACAATTATTAGATAGGAAATTAAAGTAACTAAACTCCCCTTTGATGATCCGAGCTCCTGTCATTATTGTTGAATTAGAGAATTATGAAGCTAGCCACGGTTTGCCATAAAAATTGTAATCAAAGCTCTGCTACAAGGTTCCATGGAGAACACGGTGAAGCTATGAAAGACAGAGACGGAACAGTGCAAGAGTTGATGGAGGATGATGCCGTCGAGCTTCTGTTCGCTGCTTCTGTTCGTCTGCGTCACTGTTCTTCCTCAGTGCCGTCCAGCGTGTGTGTGTTGCTGTGTGTGTCTCCGTCGAGCGCCACCTGCCACCAGGAAGGTTCAACGGAGAAGGAGATTATTATTCGAATATTGCCTGGAGCCCCTGTTCTGCTCGCGTCTTCTCTGCTCGCCTCTTTTTCTTCTTTTCTTTCCGCCGTCCAGCAAGCGTGTGTGTGTTTTCCCCTTTGATGATAATAATAGATTAATAGGTTATTAGTAGGGGTAGAGCCGGGAAAACGGGCCGAGCCCGTCGGGCCGGCCCGTTTAAGCCCGTTTAATTCACGGGCTAGGCTTGTATTTTGGAGCCTTAAAAGGGAAGTTGGGTTTAAAAGGGCCAGCCCTGTAGGGCCGAAAAATAAACGGGCCGGCCCGTTTAAACCCGCCAATATTTTTTTAAAAATTTTTATATTTTTTTTTTAACTTAAAAAGGAAAACCCTAACATTTTACACATAATATACTCTTAGTTTTACTTATCCCCACTGCTTACACAAATAGCATTCACAAAAAAGAAATCACCATAATTCTAAGTATATTAACAAAAATGTGTTATTATTTATAAGTTGTCAAAACCTATTAAAATACTGTATGTGTTATTTTACAATCTTTATTTATCATTCTTTCATATTCTTTATACTTGAAATAGAATTGGTTAAAGAATCTTTTGAATTAAAATAAAGATCTATATCATTGTTATAGTTAGAAACAAATTGAGAACTAAGGATGATGAACTCTTTTCTTTTTTGTTAGTAAGACAAAAAATTATTTTTTATGTATACTATGTTTGTTAGTTACACTTTTTTGTTAATTATTTATAATTAAACAAGATCATCCATATTGTAATTATTTACTGAATTTAATATTTATTTAGTTGTTTATGTCTGTTTTCTATTTAATTTGTTCATTCAATAGACTTTATTACATTGTAATAGATGTTTTGACATAATGATGTTTATGTTTGTGACTTATTTTTATTTATATTTATATCTTTTATTAGTAATTTTATTGTTTCATTTTTATTATTTCGATAAAATAGGCAAAAAAAATAATAAAAATACATTTTAGTTAAACGGGCTAAAAGCCCGCGGGCCAGTCCGAACCCGTTATCTCACAGGCTAGGCTTGAAAAAATGCTTCATTTTTAAAACTCGGGCTTAAACGGGCCGGCCTGTTTAAACTCGAGCCCGTGACAGGCCGGCCCGTTTTCCCAGTGCTTAGGGGGAGCAAAACGCAACGTTTTGCTCCCTTTTTTTAATTATTTTTTTCTTTTTTTTTTAATTTTCATTTTAATTTTTTAAATTTTCTAAAAACCTGCAAACAAAATTCAAGAATAAGGTAGTATTAATTGTCCTCAAAAATCAATTAGTCACAATTAAACCAAAATATGACAATTTTGCCCCTATAAAATAATAATTCAAAATAAAATATATTAAATCAATTAACAATCAATTAGGTTAAAAAGACTAATTAAGTTGACAAAACCCATATAAAAAATATCAAAATATAAAAATAATTGAGTTTGTCACTGCCACACCTAAGAAGCCACAAATATATTTCTCTCTTGCCTAGTGCCTTATTGCTTATAAATTTTTGGTGCAAAATTAACAATTCCTATATGTTGCAGATTAAGGAAATAACCGGGGCAAGTGTTGAAGACCGTCCAAAACCAGAGGAGGCTGCAGAAGCTAATGAAGTGAAGGATTCAGAGCAAGCCAGCAACAAACCTGCTCCTCCACAAGTGAGATTATCATTTTTTTTTTGAATTACAACCTGGATACAAGTAGAAAAACTACAGAAGCCTAAATAAGATCAAGAAAAACAGAAAACTAAGCTCCCTCATCACCTTCCGCCTCTTGATAAAAAGGAGGAGGGTGATCAAGGATCCAAAAGGACCTAACAAGGTTGTGAGAGCATTTCGCTAAATAATGTTTTTAAAATACGAAACCATTAACTTTATCAATTTATTTTCAGTGACTAATATCAGAAAACACACATTATAAATTCATCACACTTCAGAACCTCAAACTTTTCTAAATAAAATAGTTTTGCATAAACATCAAGCAGTTCCACATTTTATTAACATATTGTAAGTCCATAGAGTACCAAAGCAGTAAAAAACAAAATTGTTAAACAAGCTCTTCTTTGTGATGTACCAGCAAAACAACACCATTCTCTAATTCAGATATTTTAAGAGAAAATGCCCAACAAACACCTTCACTTGTTTTTATATGTTGTGAAATTTAATTAGCTGGTAAAGAATATTGTTGATGAAGAGATGGTGCTAGAACTCACAGCAAGCTAAATTACTTATTTGTGCTATGCAACAAATTACTACTATAAAGGAAACATTAAAGTCAACATCTCAAGGAGGTTTTAAATTAGATGAAGCTCCCAGAACAAATGAAATCATGAGTCCAGAATCAAGCAAGCCATCACCAATAGCATTTGTTGTTCCTTCAGAAAATGAGAATCCACAGGTAAGAATATAGTCGTTCCTGATATATAGGTTGAATTTATGGTAGATGATACAATTTTATGGTGCTTTTTCTATATTTGTGTTCATTTAGGACATTAAGAATCGCATTTTGGGTGAGAACAAGAGAATCACACATGATGCACTATAAAAAACAGAACGTAATATGCATCGTAGTGATTCATAAAAGGTTCATTAACAATCTACAAAAGACTATATATATGTATTATAATGTTTCATTGTCACACAAACAAGAAATTGATGGCATGCAATGCGGCGCAGAATATTGGAGCAAATATCGAAGAAACAGCAAATAAAATTGAAAGAAGCTCTCCATTGGTAAATAGTTACTATTCTCATTTAGCCCTGTTTGATTTTTGCACAATTTTTACTATTTGAGACAGCATTTGAATTTCCTAAAAAATTACTTAATAAAAAGTTTGTTATGGAAGTTGGACTGTTATTATGTATTCTGTGTTTTATGTACTATCATTGTGTTTATTTCACAATGTTGATAGTGATTATTGTTTCTCCTACTCATTCTCACAAGATAGACGAACTACTTTAAATAAATAAATCATTTTATTTATCCTTTATACCGTAATAATAGTTTAAATTAAATCTATTGAAAGTCAATAAGTTTTCCCAATTTTAATGTATATATATTTACTTTTTAATTAAATATAATTTTCTCACATTTTTTATTTATGCTTAAATTTATTTTATTCAAAATTAAAATTATATGACCCCCCTGAAATACATAACAAATATCGTTTTCAGGCCAACGCTCTGGACGATTTATTACCTCAGTACTCGTGCAAGATAATTCACGAGTTCTTAAAAACCATTCTAGGATTCAAATTAACTTGATTTAGAATAGCAATAAAAAGTTTTAAATTTTTTTAGAAAATATTAAAGTTATTATTGATATATCAATAATTTCACTTGACCAACCATTACTTCAAATTGTGTATTTATTTTTTTATTTTATTAAGTTTTGAAATGCTATTTATTTTCTTATTTTTGGTCAGCCACAAGGAGTAATGGCATTTTAACTACTTTTTGGATGACAAGAGTCCTCTTACTGTATAGCGATGCTAATGTAAATTAATTTTTATTCTCTATTTTATGAGAACATTTATTCAAAATTTTTGTATTCAATTAGTCAATTATATATATATTTATATATTACTTATGTTTGGTGTGCATTGCATATCAGAAGCACACTAAACTCTGATTAAGGTATGCAAAAGACATCAACAAATATATTTCTCTCTCACCTATTGCCTTCTTGATTGCTTCCAGTTTTTGGTACAACATCATTAAATTAAGTCCAGAACTTTTTAATGTCTTTGCGGTCTCCTATAATGTTACAGATTAAGGAAAAAGCAGAGGCAAGTGATGAAGACAGTCGACAACCAGAGGAGGCTGCAGAAAGTGATTCAGAACAAACCAACAAACCTGCAACATTTGCTGCTCCTTCACAAATTGAATCTTCACAAGTAAGATTATCATATTTTACAATACAAAACGAATGAATTAAATATATGCAGCTTTTTCAATATTCATTGATATATACATATATATATATGTATATATTTTTCATGTAGAGTGAAAGAGGACTACATTTGCATTCTAAAGATCCCCAAGCAGAACCATCTAAGCTTTCCTCCAGTATAGCATCTTCTGAAGTAAGTCTACCCTTTATTGCATCAGTTTGAGTGATTAATATTAGACGTTAACAGCTTGAAAACACATCCATTATAAGTTCCTCATACTTTAAAATTTCCTAAAATTAATGGACTTGCCCAAACATCAAATAGTACTTCTCTCCATTACCATATTGTAAGTTCATGGACTACCATAGCAACAGCAAATAAAATTGTTAAACTAACAAGATCCTATTTCTGATATACCGGTGACAACAACACCATCGTCTAATTCAAATATTTTAAGAGAAAATCCCCAAAAAAAAAACCTTCGCTTGGTCATGTATTGTAAAATTTAATTAGCTAGTAAAGAATACTGTTGATGAAGAGATGGCGTAGAACTCACAGCAAGCTAAATTACTTCTTTAACTTGTGCTATGCAACAAATTAAAAAGGAGACATTGAAATCAACCTATCAAGAAGGCTCTAAATTAGATGAAGCTGTCGGAACAAATCAAATCACGATTCTAGAATCTAGCTAGCAAGCCATCACCAACAACATTTGTTGTTTCTTCTTGATATAAGATGAATTATTATGGTAAATGATATAATCTTTTGATGCTTTTTGCATATTTATGTTCATTTAGGAGAATATGGATCGCATTGAGGGTGAGGGCAAGAAAATCACACTTGATCAACAAGCACTACAAAAAACAGACGCTGATATGCATCTTGATGATTCACAAAAGGTTAATTAACAATCTACAAATATATATATATATATATATATATGTATTATATTGCTTTACTATCACAAAAACAAGAAACTAATGTCATTCGGTGCTGCGCAGAATGCTGAAGCAAGTGTTGTAGAAACATCAGATAAAGTGGCAGTGTCAATTCCATCAACTCCTACCACTGAAACGAGCTCTCCATTGGTAAATAACTACTCTTTTCATTTACCCTTGTGTGATTGTTGCACTATTGGTACTTTACTATTTTTGGTTGAAATTAATTTTTCTATTTTTCTGGTTTTAGATCCCTTCAATCTCTACTCCCATGAAGCCTCAAATAGCAACTTCAAGTATTGAAACAAAAGCAGAGGGCTCACAATCGGACCATTTAGATATTTCCATCACTGAATCTGCACAGGTATGTTTATAGTTTATTGCACTGCTTTTTGGTATAATGTTTTTCCTTTAAAATAATTGATAATAAATATTGTGTTGATTACCATTTATAATTATGCGTTTGGGATTCAATGTGTTTAGAAAAAAATCATATTTTGTTGCTGGATTCGATTAGTAAGAATAATATTTGTCCTTTATTATCCACTTCAGGATGAAAATAAGGTCACTCAAGCAGGGACTTGCACGCCTCATGTATCTAAGCAGCTTGAGAATGATGATTTAATGATATTATTCCAAATAATGGAGGAAGGTGCTGACATGGAAGTTCACATGCCTTGTGCGTCAAAAATTACCGCTCATGAAGATGATAGTGAGGTAACCAAGGCTCTTGCTGACTTGGAAGCCTCAATGAAGATGGGTCTGAATGAAATAGCTGGCTCTGAAGAAAGCAAACTTTGCCTTGAGAATGCTCTCAACACCTTGTCCTCTCATTGTTCTGATGATGGCCTAAAAGCTATAATACACTCTTTGCAACAAGAAATCCACACTGTTCTATCTTCCTTCATGCTTGAACATAAACAGAAGCTAATGACTGAACAGCGTTTGCAACGAAAAGGAGCAGCCATGGCTCTTTTATCTGAAATTCAGAAGACGCAGAATTCTATGGTTGAGGCTCAAACAAGGGCAGTAGATTTGAGAAAGCAAATCTTTAAGTTGCAGACTGAACTAGATAGCAAAGAAAATGAAATCAAAGAGTGTGACAACAAATTGTTGTCTCTTGAAAAGCAAAAGAAGGAAAGTGTTTCGGACACCATTGAATTCATAAAGGAGTTGGAAGCAGTGAAGAAAGAGAGGTCTCACCTGGAGAATGTGGATTCTAAGTGGTCTTCTTGTTTAGCCAATTTGAAGAAAACCTCGTTGCTGTTAGGGGTTCATCTTAAACAAAAACTTTGACTATGTGAGACCGCCATTTAAATTTCCAAAAAAATTGTTTTAAGAAAAAGGTTCATTATGGAAGGTGGGTTGTAATGTATCTATTCCGCGTTTTATGTACTATCATTGTGGTTCTTTCTCAATGTTGGCTGTGATTATTGTTTGTCCTATTCATTCTCACAAGAAGACCTACTCTAGTTAATAAATAAATCGTGTTATTTATCCTTTTTTTTTGCCAGCATGTTATTTATCCTTTTATATCATAACAATAACAATAGTTTAAATCAAATATGTTGACCGTCAATAAGTTTTCCCAATTTAAACGTATGTGTCCTTTTTAATTGAATATATTTCAGCTAACCCTCAGGACGATTTTTTTTTTCCTGCTACTCGTGGAAGATAATTCACCATTTTTGTAAAAATCACTTTAAGGTCCGAATTAACTTGATTTAAAATAGCAATAAAATATTTTAAATTTTTTTAGAACATATTAAATTTATTATTGATCTATCAATAATTTCACTTGACCAACCATTGCTTCAAAATTTGTATTTATTTTTTTATATTATTAAATTTTGAAATACTATTTATTTTCTATTTTTGGTGAGCCACAAGGACTATACCCCGCTCATCATCACAGCAATGTCGAATCACTCCTAATGTATTGAAGGCAATGGACACTCACAATTTAGGGTATGTTTGGATTGCCGATTCAAACGGTGAAAGTGCCTAGGAAATTGTGAAACCAACGTTTGCAACTGAAATGAAGGAAAATGGTTGTTTGGCTGCAATATCTTATCCAACTGACTTCTGAAGCAAACGGTGGACGTTGGCAACGCTGAGGAGAGCTACTTCTGGAGCGTCTGAGACTGAAATTTACCGTTGCGGGTCATTATTAGTTCCATAAAAATACCACCTACCAGTTGTAACCCTCCCTGCATTTTCCCTCCCCCCGAATCCATTCGCTAGAGCTTCTCCACGGTCTCCCTTCGTAGAGCTTCTCCACGGTCTCCCTCCCTCCTGCTTCACCGTGAGTCCGTGACCGACCACTCTCCTTCCCTCCTTCTCGCCGGCGCTTCTCCATCCGTGATTGTCACCGGTGCTTCTCCTTCCTTCACTCTCTCCATTTTCTCCCACACCATGGAGCGTGGTGATCTGTTCTTCTCCCTAACGCTCTCCCATTTTGTTCTTCCATTTCAGGTGGTCCTCCGGTTGTCCGACCGAGCTCGCCACTTTGTTCACCGTGGGTTGTGCCAGAGATCAGTTGGAGTATTTGTTACAGATTAGTGTGGTCCTGAGGTTGTTCGACCGAGCTCGCCCCTTCTAGCATCCTCAGTGCGTTTGCTTCACCGGATCTGTTGAGGTTCACCGTCCTTCTAATTGAGCTCGCCCCGCTCGACTCGATTGACCGTGGCTGCCGAGAAGCAAGTGGTTAGCTTCGTTCTGCTTCACTTGATTTACCTTGCGTCGGCGCTTCTCCCTGCGTGATCTCTTCCGCTTGGCCCTGTTTCAAACCCGGAGCTTCAGGTCGCAGCTTCAGATCAACCGTTTTGCTTCATTGTTCTTCGAACTCATCTGCCGTATGTTTGTGGGTTTAATTCTCTGGTATTATCTGTTAAATTTACTGATTTTTGTGTGCTGATAGTATCTGATAATTTGCTGATTTTTGTGTCTCCATAGTATCTGATAAATTTGCTAATCTTTGTGTCCTGGTAGTATCTAATAAATTTGCTAATTTATGTGTCCTGGTAGTATCTGATAAATTTGCTTATTTTTGTGTCTTGATAGTATCTGATAAATTTGTTTATTTTTGTGTCCTGGTAGTATCTGATAAATTTACTGATTTGTGTGTCCTGATAGTATCTGATAAATTTGTTGGTAGTGTCTGATAATTTGCTGATTTTTGTGTCCTGGTAGTATTTGATAAATTTGCTGATTTTTTTTGTCTTGGTAGTATCTGATAGATTTGCTGGTAGTATTTGATAAATCAGCCTGATAATCTTTCTAAGAATACGTGGGAGTTATTATTTAGGGAATTCATTTAGAATTGAAGAGGGATGTGGTTGGGTTGTCTTATGGCGTATAAAGTGGATAACACATATGAACACTATTAGTTTAAAAATGTATTGATTGATTGTTTTTAAATAAAAAGTTTAAGCAGACACTGTTAATTGTGGGTTTATTCATGTGTGTTACTGCTTCATTCTAAATCTATTGTGAATTTGATACATATGTAATTTCATCAAGAACAATGAGTAATGATAAAGGCAAAGCGTATTGGGATGTAAGCACTACTGGTGTTTTTCTCAAAATATGCATGGACCAAGTTTTTAACAAACATCGTCAAGGATCCTGTTTACAAAGCTAGGCTGGGACAACATTCATAAAACATTCAATGAAAAGACAGGGAGAGGATATGAGAAGAAACAGCTGAAAAATAGATTGGATAATTTGAGGAAAGAGTGGAAGCTATTTGAGCAGCTAATTGGAAAGGAGACCGGCATAGGATGGGACCCTGAAAGGAACACAGTGGTGGCATCTGATGAGTGGTGGGAGAGAAAGAAGCTGGTATGAACTAACTTCTGTTAATTTTTAAGCAGTTAGTGACTTCTGAAAATAATTTAACCTTTGTTTACTTTTGGCTTTGCAGGAAAATCCAGCATACGAAAAGTTTAGGCAGCATGGGTTAAAATTTCGGACTGAATTAGAAACTCTATTTAGGGGCACTATGGCATCAGGACAAGATATGTGGTCACCTTCTTCAACCCAGCCTGAGCCACAGCCTGAGCCACATAGGACTGATCAGTCAAATGATTACCGACCAACCATGGATTGGGAAGAAGGTTCAGGGGACAGTGAAGATGGCCTTTTAGGTGTTGACACTGAACGCCCTGCAGGAGTTTCGGACGATTTGGACGGCATCAATTTAACTGCAAACGCATCAAACACTACACCCAGTATACCTATTGGTTCAGGGAGCCAAGGGAAGAGAAAGAGAGGTGGAGGGTTGGATAAGTACAAGAAACAAAAAATGCCAGCGACAAAAAGAATAGCAGATTCAATAAGCTCAATTGAGAAGGCTTCAATTAGTACAGCATCGGCAGTAAACAAATTGGCCAACAGTGATAACACTACCGAGCTGACCACTGATCTGCTGAGTATGAAGGAAATTGTTAGTGACACTCATCTTTGTGTCATGTGTTGTAATCTGCTGGCAAACAAGACTTTCAGGGACATATATGCTGGTCTGAGAGAAAATCGGGAGGTATTAGTGGCTTGGTTGAAGCACAATGCTGCAAATCCACCGCCATATGCTGCACCAAAGAATCCTTGAGTTGTGCCAGCAGACTTGTTATGACTTCTGTTTTTCTACCTTAGTGTACTATTATGTGCTATGTGTTATGACGATGTATCTAATTACTAGGTTTAATGTTTTGTGTTTCGTGACTATGTTTAATGACCAAGTTTAATGTGTGTTTCATGACTATGTTTAATTATTATGTTAAAGTTTAATGACGATTTGTGTATTATCTTTTCTTTTCTTTTTTGTGAAAATTTTACTTATATTTAGTATTTATCTATTCACAGGTAACACACATCTATTATGTCTGATTCAACGGAGGGTTGGGGCGAGGGTTGGGAGGATGATGAGGGAGATGAATGGTCTCAATTACTTTCCGCTTTACATGAACACACAACACAATTATCAGAGCTAGGTGTGTTAATGGGTCAGTATGTGACACCTTTTCTGTGCAAACAACCATGTAGAACTAGTGAACAAACTGGTTATTTGTGGGTTCAAGAACTTTTAGACGGGCATGAAGGACGGTCTAAGGAAATGTTTCGAATGGAAACAGAGACATTCCATCGGTTATGTTCTAAATTGGTTGAACATGGGTTACAAAATACTAAGTACATAGGTGTCCATGAATCTGTTGCCATGTTCTTGAATATAATTGCGCATGGCCAATGTAATAGGATGATTCAGGAAAGGTTTCAGCATTCAGGAGAAACTGTCAGTCGGCATTTTCATCGAGTGTTAGCTGCTTGCCTCAATTTATCTCGAGAAAATATCAGGCCAACTGATCCTACATTTTCCTATTGTCACCCAAAAATAGCAAATGATCCACGATACTTCCCATTTTTTAGAGATGCAATTGGAGCAATTGATGGTACCCACATAAGATGTAAGGTTAGTCAAGCTAGGCAAGACAAATATATCAATAGGAAGGGATTTCCTAGTCAAAATGTCATGGCCGTATGTGATTGGAATATGTGTTTCACGTTCGTGTTGGCGGGCTGGGAAGGTAGTGCACATGATGCTCGTGTCTTTCATTCTGCTATCTCAACTCCATCCCTGAATTTTCCTCATCCACCTGAAGGTATATTTCTTTGATTTCCAAATTAAATATTTTTAAATTCAGCTTCATTTGTATTATTTTCACCTCAATATAAGTTCGTCATGATTTTTTAGGAAAATATTATTTAGTTGATGCTAGTTATCCATCACAAGTGGGATACCTTGGCCCGTACAGACGTGAGCGCTATCACCTTCCAGACTTTAATCGTCACCCAAGATTTACAAATCAGAATGAGGCCTTCAATTATTATCATTCTAGTTTGAGATCTACTATTGAAAGAACTTTTGGGGTGTGGAAGAATAGGTTTGCAATCTTAAGCAATATGCCCAGATTCAAGTTTCAAACACAGGTCGGCATAGTTTGTGCAACAATGGCTGTCCATAATTTTATCAGGCAAAATTCTCCAACTGGTGATCGCTTTATAGAAGCTGAACATGGAAGTGTAATAGATGAAGAAAATAATCATGCAAGTGGTGAGGCATCCTCGTCAAGTTTAACATCTGCTGCACAAATGAATCGTGTTTGTGACTCAATTAGAGACCAAATTGTGCAAAGTTTACTATCTAATTAGTTATGTTATTTCATTTACTTTAATTACAGACTAAATGAATTTTAATTTATATTCATGTTTGTCCATTATGTATATTTAATTAATTATTTCCAATGTGTTTTTTTATTTTTTTCAGCACAAATATTTTT